TATAGACTAGACTATAGACTAGACTATAGACTAGACTATAGACTAGACTATAGACTAGACTATAGACTAGACTATAGACTAGACTATAGACTAGACTATAGACTAGACTATAGACTAGACTATAGACTAGACTATAGACTAGACTATAGACTAGACTATAGACTAGACTATAGACTAGACTATAGACTAGACTATAGACTAGACTATAGACTAGACTATAGACTAGACTATAGACTAGACTATAGACTAGACTATAGACTAGACTATAGACTAGACTATAGACTAGACTATAGACTAGACTATAGACTAGACTATAGACTAGACTATAGACTAGACTATAGACTAGACTATAGACTAGACTATAGACTAGACTATAGACTAGACTATAGACTAGACTATAGACTAGACTAGACTAGACTATAGACTAGACTAGACTAGACTATAGACTAGACTATAGACTAGACTATAGACTAGACTATAGACTAGACTATAGACTAGACTATAGACTAGACTATAGACTAGACTATAGACTAGACTATAGACTAGACTATAGACTAGACTATAGACTAGACTATAGACTAGACTATAGACTAGACTATAGACTAGACTATACTATAGATTATAGACCAGACTATAGACTAGACTATAGACTAGACTATGTACTAGACTATACTATAGATTAGAGACCAGACTATAGACTAGACTATAGACTAGACTATGTACTAGACCATAGACTAGACTATAGACTAGACTATAGACTAGACTATAGATTAGACTATAGACTAGACTATAAACTAGACTATAGACTAGACTATAGACTAGACTATAGACTAGACTATAGACTAGACTATAGACTAGTCTATAGACTAGACTATAGACTAGACTATAGACTAGACTATAGACTAGACTATAGACTAGACTATAGACTAGACTATACTATAGATTATAGACCAGACTATAGACTAGACTATAGACCTAGACTATGTACTAGACTATACTATAGATTAGAGACCAGACTATAGACTAGACTATAGACTAGACTATGTACTAGACCATAGACTAGACTATAGACTAGACTAAGACTAGACTATAGACTAGACTATAGACTAGAACTATAGACTAGACTATAGACTAGACTATAGACTAGACTATAGACTAGACTATAGACTAGACTATAGACTAGACTATAGACTAGACTATAGACTAGACTATAGACTAGACTATAGACTAGACTATAGACTAGACTATAGACTAGACTATAGACTAGACTATAGACTAGACTATAGACTAGACTATAGACTAGACTATAGACTAGACTATAGACTAGACTATAGACTAGACTATAGACTAGACTATAGACTAGACTATAGACTAGACTATAGACTAGACTATAGACTAGACTATAGACTAGACTATAGACTAGACTATAGACTAGACTATAGACTAGACTATAGACTAGACTACGACTAGACTATAGCTAGACTATAGACTAGACTAGACTAGACTATAGACTAGACTATAGACTAGACTATAGACTAGACTATAGACTAAGACTATAGACTAGACTATAGACTAGACGATAGACTAACTATAGACTAGACCATAGACTAGACTATAGACTAGACTATAGACTAACTATAGACTAGACCATAGACTAGACTATAGACTAGACTATAGACTAGACTATAGACTAGACCATAGACTAGACTATAGACTAGACTATAGACTAGACTATAGACTAGACCATAGACTAGACTATAGACTAGACTATAGACTAGACTATAGACTAGACATAGACTGGACTATAGACTAGACTATAGACTAGACTATAGACTAGACTATAGACTAGACTATAGACTAGACCATAGGACTAGACTATAGACTAGACTATAGACTAGACTATAGACTAGACTATAGACTAGACCATAGACTAGACTATAGAGTAGACTATAGACTTAGACTATAGACTAGACTATAGACTAGACTATAGACTAGACTATAGACTAACTAGACTAGACTATAGACTAGACTATAGACTAGACTATTGACTAGACTATTGACTAGACTATAGACTTAGACTATAGACTTAACTATTGACTAGACTATAGACTAGACTATAGACTAAACTATAGACTAGACTATAGACTAGACTATAGACTAGACTATAGACTAGACTATAGACTAGACTATAGACTAGACTATAGACTAGACTATAGACTAGACTATAGACCTAGACTATAGACTAGACTATAGACTAGACTCTAGAGACTAGACTATAGACTAGACTATAGACTAGACTATAGACTAGACTATAGACTAGACTATAGACTAGACTATAGACTAGACTATAGACTAGACTATAGACTAGACTATAGACTAGACTATAGACTAGACTATAGACTAGACTATAGACTAGACTATAGACTAGACTATAGACTAGACTATAGACTAGACTATAGACTAGACTATAGACTAGACTATAGACTAGACTATAGACTAGACTATAGACTAGACTATAGACTAGGCTATAGACTAGACTATAGACTAGGCTATAGACTAGACTATAGACTAGACTATAGACTAGACTATAGACTAGGCTATAGACTAGACTATAGACTAGGCTATAGACTAGACTATAGACTAGACTATAGACTAGACTATAGACTAGACTATAGACTAGACTATAGACTAGACTATAGACTAGACTATAGACTAGACTATAGACTAGACTATAGACTAGACTATAGACTAGACTATAGACTAGACTATAGACTAGACTATAGACTAGACTATAGACTAGACTATAGACTAGACTATAGACTAGACTATAGACTAGACTATAGACTAGACTATAGACTAGACATAGACTAGACTATAGACTAGACTATAGACTAGACTATAGACTAGACTATAGACTAGACTATAGACTAGACTATAGACTAGACTATAGACTAGACCTATAGACTAGACTATAGACTAGACTATAGACTAGACTATAGACTAGACTATAGACTAGACTATAGACTAGACTATAGACTAGATATATAGACTAGAACTATAGACTAGACTATAGACTAGACTATGAATAGACTATAGGACTAGACTATAGACTAGACTATAGACTAGACTATAGACTAGACTATTAGACTAGACTATAGACTAGACTATAGACTAGACTATAGACCTAGACTATAGACTAGACTATAGACTAGACTATAGACTAGACGATAGACTAGACTATAGACTAGACTATAGACTATAGACTAGACTATAGACTAGACTATAGACTAGACTATAGACTAGACTATAGACTAGACTATAGACTAGACTATAGACTAGACTATAGACTAGACTATAGACTAGACTATAGACTAGACTATAGACTAGACTATAGACTAGACTATAGACTAGACTATAGACTAGACTATAGACTAGACTATAGACTAGACTATAGACGACTATAGACTAGACTATAGACTAGACTATAGACTAGACTATAGACTAGACTATAGACTAGACTATAGACTAGACTATAGACTAGACTATAGACTAGAATATAGACTAGACTATAGACTAGACTATAGACTAGACTATAGACTAGACTATAGACTAGACTATAGACTAGACTATAGACTAGACTATAGACTAGAATATAGACTAGACTATAGACTAGACTATAGACTAGACTATAGACTAGACTATAGACTAGACTATAGACTAGACTATAGACTAGACTATAGACTAGACTATAGACTAGACTATAGACTAGACTATAGACTAGACTATAGACTAGACTATAGACTAGACTATAGACTAGACTATAGACTAGACTATAGACTAGACTATAGTTGACTGATTTGTCATAGTTCATAGATTTATCTAAGGACTTGTCTACCTACCAATATATAAATTATCCCAAAAACTAGTTGCTGGTTTAGTCCATTGACTAGACTAGAAGTTTAGTAATAAATTAGTTAGCTTTAGCTTAGACTACTCCTAAGACTAGTCAATAGTCCGTAAGCAATTCAATAAGTACACTAGTTTATTAGTCATGATGTTTTTTTTATCATAAATTTAACACATTTCTTATCAAGTAATTAGCTTTTTCAATGTTAACATACCCAGCAAAAACTTACACTGAAAAGTAAGGATTTACTTACACAAAGCCTTTAAAGTCGTTATTTTTAGTACTTAACAAGCTATCTTACAAGTAGGGACTTAGTTAAGTACTTACTAGGATCACCTACAAATAAGGAATTTTTTTGATAGGTATCCTCTGAAAATTTTCTATAACCAATTTTAAAAGTATGTTCTTACCTACATATATAGATATTTGAAAGTCATTACTAGACTCTTTCAATATAATGCAGGCAGAATGTACTAGTCATTGATAAGTAGGTTCTTGAGAAAGTACGAGTTATTGCCATGTTTTGGCTGGGTATTGTATGTATGTAGAGTAGAATATGTATGTACTCTGTGAACTTGTAGCCACTTTTGATTACTTCCGGTGAAATGCACATACTTATACACAAACTAATAAGAATCAGTTACAGAACAACAAAAAAGCCATTAATTGACAACAGTTGACCCCTAAAATGAAATTTAAAAAAGAAATAATTATTTGAATTACAGCCAAAAAATGACAACGCATTGTTAGACATTTTCAAAATGGTTTGCTTTGTCATTTGAAAACAATTTATATTTTTTAAATTTATTTAATTAACTAAAAAAAGAAAAAAACAAAATAACATATAAAAATTTAATTAAAACATGGTCAAATAAATATACGAACATATTTTCAAATAAATACATAAACGTTTTGCAATGAACTTGAAATAACTAAAATATTTGCAACTAAGCTATTCACAATAGATGTCGTAAAGTTGTAGTGTTGTATGCTAGCAATTGTTTTTTAAATAGTAGTTGTAGAAATCAAATACAACACTTAATTATTTAAAATTTATCAAAAGCATCTAATAAATTTTTTCTCTTTTTTGCAGAATCACTAGTTAACAGAGGTCTTTTACACGAAAAAAGGCACCCTTTAGGGGGTTGTCTATTATTTCAGATACTACTTTATCTTACAAATAAAAGACGGTAAGTTGCATATTGAGCAGAATACTTTAAACTGTAAATAAATCTTTAATCAATTATTGCCAATATTCCCAGTTTATCAACCTCCTTTTTAAGAAAAAAATCAAATCCCAAAATAAAATTTTGCTAAAAATTACTGAAAACCTAAACCAAAATAGCAATTAATTTACGCACACATCATTTATGGTGTTCTTAATTACCATAATGCACCTAATTTAATCCCACTGCGAAAATAAAATTTCTATTAAAAAAAAAAAGAAATAAATGTAGAAGACAGCAATATGTATTTTTGGTTTACAGCAGCAGAAATTTTATTTGGAACTTAAATTCTTTGACTATAAAAATAAACACACACACATGAATACTTATAGTAGAAGTGAAACAGAACGGATGCTATTTTCTACGGACGATGACGACAAAGACGACTCTCAGTTGCTCTGGTGATTGCATTTTTCTATTTTTAAATATTTCCAATTTTCACTAATTTTCTTCACTTTATTTCTTCTCAATGATGCCTTTTTATACTTTATTTAAAATAAAATGGAGGGTATATTTGATTAGATGTAAGGTTTGTAACATAGACAACGAAAACTCAATGAAAGTATAGTCTATAGTATAGTCCATAGGGTAGTCTATAATCTATTCCATAGACTAGTTCTATAGTCTTGTCTAGACTAGACTGTAGACTAGACTATAGACTAGAGTATAAAGTCTATAGATTAAAGACTATAGACTAGACTACAGACTATAGCATAGACTATATACTAGTCTATAGTCTGGTCTATAATCCAGTCTATTGTCTTGTCTATAGATTAGACTATAGACTAAAGTATAAATTAGCCTATAGATTAGACTATAGACTACACTATATAATAGTCCTTAGACTAGACAATAGACTAATCTATAGTCTATTCTATAGTCTAGTCTATAGACAAGACTATATACTAGTCTATAGACAAGACTATAGACTAGTCTATAGTATTTTCTATAGTCTATGCTATAGTCTATGCTATAGTCTTATCTATAGCCTATACTATAGTCTTAGCCATGGCTTAGTCTAAAGTCTAGTCTATAGTCTATTCTATAGTCTAAAATATAGTCTACACTATAGTCCAGTCTAGACAAGACTATAGAGTAGACTATTGTCCGGTCTATAGTCTAGTCTATAATCTAGCCTATAATATAGTATATAGTGTAGTCCATAGTCTTGTCTATAGTGTAGTTTATAGTTTAGTGAATAGTCTATTCTATGATCAAGTCTATAGTCTACCCTATAGTCTAGTCTATAGTCTAGCCTATAGTCTAGTCTATAGTCTAGTCTAAAGTCTACTCTAGAGTGTAGTCTATAGTCTAGTCTATAATCTAGTCTATAATCTAGTCTATAATCTAGTCTATAATCTAGACTATAATCTAGTCTATAGTCTAGTCTATAGTCTAGTCTATAGTCTCGTCTATAGTCTTGTCTATAGCCTAGTCTATAATCTGGTCTATGGTCTAGTCTATAGTCTAGTCTATAGTCTAGTCTATAATCTAGTCTATAATCTAGTCTACAGTCTAGTCTATTTTCTAGACTATAATCTAGTCTATAGTCTAGTCCATAGCCTAGTCCAAAGTCTAGTCTACATTCTAGTCTATAATCTAGTCTATAGTCAGGTCTATAGTCAAGTCTATATTCTAGTCTATAGTCTAGTCTAGAGTCTAGTCTATAGTTTAGTTTATAGTCTAGTCTATAGTCTGGTCTAGAGTCTAGTCTAGAGTCTAGTCTATAGTTTGGTATATAGTTTAATCTATAGTCTAGTCTATAATCTAGTCTATAGTCTAGTCTATATTCTAGTCTTTAGTCTAGTCTATACTCTAGTCTATAGTCTAGTCTATAGTCTAGTCTATAGTCTAGTCTATAGTCTAGTCTATAGTCTAGTCTATAGTCTAGTCTATATATCCATAGCCTAGTCTATCCGAATACCTTTCCTCAATCCTTTTCGGCCGATAGTAACAGGTCAAATTTCATATATTTCTTCTTAAATTTACACACATTTATTTATTATTCATTTTTTATACTTCTCTGGGTCGCCTGCAACGAATGAATAGTCCGCCATATAAACTTATTGATGCTTGAACGTTTTGACAGACTGACTATCCCACCATAGTGATTACAGCAATATTTTGTTTTTTTTTTTTTTTGTTTATTCAGCTCGTCCAACTGATATGCCCGATAAGTCAGTGTGTAACGAATGAGATGTGTGAGAAAATCAAGCAGCCGTATTGCATAGCTATCTATAAATAACCCATTATGTACCACAGAGAATGCAAACTCGTGTAAAATGTTTGAACAAATACATAAATGTATGAATGTATGTAAATTCTCTGGTACACACAATGTTCTATGTACTTGTAAAAATTAGTTTTTATAACCAGAAAAAATATTATTAGATGTTAGAGAGTCCCTATGTAAATCAATTAGTTGTGTGGAACAAGCACTTTTTGAAAGATAAAATTAGCACTATGGGTCTGAACTAAAAAAAGATGAAAACAAAGAAAATTTTTGGACTATACTATAGACTAGACTATAGACTAGACCATAGACTAGACTATAGACTAGACTATAGACTAGACTATAGACTAGACTGACTAGACTATAGACTAGACTATAGACTAGACCATAGACTAGACTATAGACTAGACTATAGACTAGACTATAGACTAGACTATAGACTAGACTAGACTATAGACTAGACTATAGACTAGACTAGACTATAGACTAGACTATAGACTAGACTATAGACTAGACTATAGACTAGACTATAGACTAGACTATAGACTAGACTATAGACTAGACTATAGACTAGACTATAGACTAGACTAGAGACTAGACTATAGACTAGACTATAGACTAGACTATAGACTAGACTATAGACTAGACTATAGACTAGACTATAGACTAGACTATAGACTAGACTATAGACTAGACTATAGACTAGACTATAGACTAGACTATAGACTAGACTATAGACTAGACTATAGACTAGACTATAGACTAGACTATAGACTAGACTATAGACTAGACTATAGACTAGACTATAGACTAGACTATAGACTAGACTATAGACTAGACTATAGACTAGACTATAGACTAGACTATAGACTAGACTATAGACTAGACTATAGACTAGACTATAGACTAGACTATACTATAGATTATAGACCAGACTATAGACTAGACTATAGACTAGACTATGTACTAGACTATACTATAGATTAGAGACCAGACTATAGACTAGACTATAGACTAGACTATGTACTAGACCATAGACTAGACTATAGACTAGACTATAGACTAGACTATAGATTAGACTATAGACTAGACTATAAACTAGACTATAGATTAGACTATAGACTAGACTATACACTATACTATAGACTAGACTACAGACTAGACTGTAGACTAGACTATAGACTAGACTATAGACTAGACTATAGACTAGACTATAGACTAGACTATAGACTAGACTATAGACTAGACTATAGACTAGACTATAGACTAGACTATAGACTAGACTATAGACTAGACTATAGACTAGACTATGACTAGACTATAGACTATAGACTAGACTATAGACTAGACTATAGACTACTATAGACTAGACTATAGACTAGACTATAGACTAGACTAGACTATAGACTAGACTATAGACTAGACTATAGACTAGACTATAGACTAGACTATAGACTAGACTATAGACTAGACTATAGACTAGACTATAGACTAGACTATAGACTAGACTATAGACTAGACTATAGACTAGACTATAGACTAGACTATAGACTAGACTATAGACTAGACTATAGACTAGACTATAGACTAGACTATAGACTAGACTATAGACTAGACTATAGACTAGACTATAGACTAGACTATAGACTAGACTATAGACTAGACTATAGACTAGACTATAGACTAGACTATAGACTAGACTATAGACTAGACTATAGACTAGACTATAGACTAGACTATAGACTAGACTATAGACTAGACTATAGACTAGACTATAGACTAGACTATAGACTAGACTATAGACTAGACTATAGACTAGACTATAGACTAGACTATACTAGACTATAGACTAGACTATAGACTAGACTATAGACTAGACTATAGACTAGACTATAGACTAGACTATAGACTAGACTATAGACTAGATTAGACTAGACTATAGACTAGACTATAGACTAGACTATAGACTAGACTATAGACTAGACTATAGACTAGACTATAGACTAGACTATAGACTAGACTATAGACTAGACTATAGACTAGACTATAGACTAGACTATAGACTAGACTATAGACTAGACTATAGACTAGACTATAGACTAGACTATAGACTAGACTATAGACTAGACTATAGACTAGACTATAGACTAGACTATAGACTAGACTATAGACTAGACTATAGACTAGACTATAGACTAGACTATAGACTAGACTATAGACTAGACTATAGACTAGACTATAGACTAGACTATAGACTAGACTAAGACTAGACTATAGACTAGACTATAGACTAGACCATAGACTAGACTATAGACTAGACTATAGACTAGACTATAGACTAGACTATAGACTAGACTATAGACTAGACCATAGACTAGACTATAGACTAGACTATAGACTAGACTATAGACTAGACTATAGACTAGACTATAGACTAGACTATAGACTAGACTATAGACTAGACTATAGACTAGACTATAGACTAGAACTATAGACTAGACCTATAGACTACTATAGACTAGACTATAGACTAGACTATAGATAGACTATAGACTAGACTATAGACTAGACTATAGACTAGACTATAGACTAGACTATAGACTAGACTATAGACTAGACTATAGACTAGACTATAGACTAGACTATAGACTAGACTATAGACTAGAACTATAGACTAGACTATAGACTAAACTATAGACTAGACTATAGACTAGACTATAGACTAGACTATAGACTAACTATGACTAGACTATAGACTAGACTATAGACTAGACTATAGACTAGACTATAGACTAGACTATAGACTAGACTATAGACTAGACTATAGACTAGACTATAGACTAGACTATAGACTAGACTATAGACTAGACTATAGACTAGACTATAACTAGACTATAGACTAGACTATAGACTAGACTATAGACTAGACTATAGACTAGACTATAGACTAGACTATAGACTAGACTATAGACTAGACTATAGACTAGACTATAGACTAGACTATAGACTAGACTATAGACTAGACTAGACTAGACTAGAGACTAGACTAGACTAGACTATAGACTAGACTAGACTATAGACTAGACCAGACTATAGACTAGACTAGACTATGACTAGACTAGACTATAGACTAGACTAGACTATAGACTAGACTATAGACTAGACTATAGACTAGACTATAGACTAGACTAGACTAGACTATAGACTAGACTATAGACTAGACTATAGACTAGACTATAGACTAGACTATAGACTAGACTATAGACTAGACTATAGACTAGACTATATAGACTATAGACTAGACTATAGACTAGACTATAGACTAGACTATGACTAGACTATAGACTAGACTATAGACTAGACTATAGACTAGACTATAGACTAGACTATAGACTAGACTATAGACTAGACTATAGACTAGACTATAGACTAGACTATAGACTAGACTATAGACTAGACTATAGACTAGACTATAGACTAGACTATAGACTAGACTATAGACTAGACTATAGACTAGACTATAGACTAGACTATAGACTAGACTATAGACTAGACTATAGACTAGACTATAGACTAGACTATAGACTAGACTATAGACTAGACTATAGACTAGACTATAGACTAGACTATAGACTAGACTATAGACTAGACTATAGACTAGACTATAGACTAGACTATAGACTAGACTATAGACTAGACTATAGACTAGACTATAGACTAGACTATAGACTAGACTATAGACTAGACTACTATAGACTAGACTATAGACTAGACTATAGACTAGACTATAGACTAGACTATAGACTAGACTTAGATAGACTATAGACTAGACTATAGACTAGACTATAGACTAGACTATAGACTAGACTATAGACTAGACTATAGACTAGACTATAGACTAGACTATAGACTAGACTATAGACTAGACTATAGACTAGACTATAGACTAGACTATAGACTAGACTATAGACTAGACTATAGACTAGACTATAGACTAGACTATAGACTAGACTATAGACTAGACTATAGACTAGACTATAGACTAGACTATAGACTAGACTATAGACTAGACTATAGACTAGACTATAGACTAGACTATAGACTAGACTATAGACTAGACTATAGACTAGACTATAGACTAGACTATAGACTAGACTATAGACTAGACTATAGACTAGACTATAGACTAGACTATAGACTAGACTATAGACTAGACTATAGACTAGACTATAGACTAGACTATAGACTAGACTATAGACTAGACTATAGACTAGACTATAGACTAGACTATAGACTAGACTATAGACTAGACTATAGACTAGACCATAGACTAGACTATAGACTAGACTATAGACTAGACTATAGACTAGACTATAGACTAGACTATAGACTAAGTGTCGTGGCATTCCGTATCAAAGATCCAGTTTTCTAGAATCTCGAAATCATTCCAAACCATTCATTTTCTTTAGTTCGTTTACAATGCATTGCAATTATTAAATTGTAGTCTTTGTTGTTATTATTGCGAAATTGTTTTTTTTTTTAATTTTTTTTTCTTTATTTGCTTTCACCATTTACGTTGTATTTTTATTTGTTTAAAAATTGCGTGTAATGATCATATAATTTTTGTGGATACACACACAAATTAACTTATACAAAGAAATAAAAATAAAATAAGAAAAAAAATCTATAGAAATTGACCTTGAATACTTTTATATATAAAATTTTGTTGTTTTTGTAAAAGCAAAGAAATTTTCTTTAAGTAGAAGTGTTTGGAAAATACGTTGGCAATTTTAGAGGCGGTTAAAAGAGAAATAATTTTCGTTTTTAAAATAATTGAAGTTTGAAGAATATTTTAAGCAAATTTTTAATCTTCATAATGAGGTGAACTTTTTTCAAAACGAAAGGGCTGAAAGACCTCACCACTGCCAGCATAAAATTTCGATTGAAATTCTACCCAGTGTAGACGCAAGGTATGCAGAAATGCTGATAAACCCTCCATGACCACTAATATGGCCACCGTTAAAATGGACCAGAAAATGAACACCATATACAAGACCAAACTATTCCAATAGCCACGCTGACCAGTTAAACCAATTTTTAAGACCATATTCCATAAAACTGTCGATAGTTGATCGTGGGCCAATGACAAAGCCCACAAACGTAAATAGGAGGCAGTGTGGGAGACTGAGCCCAATATGCTTTCGATGCAATGAATGCCTGAAAGAGAGGGTGAAAGTTATTATTGAAGGTTTTAGAGAACTTTAAATCTTTACCCGAATGTATCCACAATTCACTTAAATCTGTTTTACTCTCTGCCGCTTCCTTTTTAGCTATTTCCGATTTCACCGGATGTAAAGAACTTTCCACGTTGTAGACTAAAGATTTTCTCATATTTGTTAAGGTACTAAGAGTCCTGGTCTTCCTTAAAGCCTCATTTTTGATTTTTTGTAAATTTTTCTCTTGTATCATGAAATAAACCGGTCGACCAGCCAACAGTAACGGTATACAAATGAGGGCCAGGGTAAGCAAAACTATTTGTAAATAAGGCTGTAAGTCAAACATCCAAATTTCACAACCTACCGGAGGCTCTTCGGGGCCTTTCATTAGCAACATGTTGATGAATACAATTAATATGCTGGGAGCACAGGCCGAGTTGTAGGGTGTTTTGGTGTGGCCACCAAATTGCAACCATTTGAAAAATATTAAAAATACTAAATAGGCAAAAATGCTTAAGAGAAAAGTCAGTTGAGGTAGAAACACCAATAGTAGATCCACATAGTCCTTTTTATGTATATGATTAAATGCCGAGAGGATTAGGCCAAAACACATTTGAGCCACACCTAAAATAATGGCCAATTTCATTTTTAAAGAATTGAAAGTAATAATAGCATTTTCTCCCGAAGCATCCCATACCGGATCCATGCCAAAAACATAGGGAGTTCCCAGATATTGTTGTTGATCATAAGGATCCAGTTGTATATAGTGGGCATGAAGAACAGTAGTTTTATTCAAATCCGCCCGCCAAGAAGAACCAAATATATTAAAAGACTTGGAGAAGCAATCATTATAGATAAAACCCGTGTAAATGGAAAAGGCACCCATTAGTAAGATAATATAACGACCCGCAAATAGGATATTCCAAATTTCACTTTGTTGCGCAGCAAAACGATTCTGTTCCTCCAATTTTTGCTCTTTTAAAACCATCCATAAACCAAATAAAAACATTATAACACCATGACCGATATCACCAAACATAACAGCAAATAGAAAAGGAAATGTTATAATGGTATAGGGAGCCGGATTCAATTCCTGATATTGAGCTATACCATATGAATCGATAAGATTTTGAAAACCTTGAGTAAATTTATTCAATACAAAATAGGTGGGTTTATCTAAATCCATTAGATTTCGTTTCTGAAGCTCATTCAGCAATGGTATAAACATAGAACGTGAATTATCTTTAGCGGTACGTCGGGCGCCCTGCAATAAAGCCACTCTAACACTTTCCACATCATGCGTAGGTATCCAACATTCAGCCTGTAGATATTTGTCTAAATGCAAATGTCTGATACGACTCATGCGATTGAGTACGTAATAGACCTTTAACATTTTATCTACCTTAACGCGCCAGATATAAATATCGGCCGAGGCCAAGAGCAGTAAGTTAAAACAATGCGTTTTAATACGTTTTATAATTGCTTCTAAATCTTGCATTTCCTGTTTTATATGTTCAGCTTCTAGGCGTCGCTCCTGCAGCGATTCCGAACATTCAAAGAGTTGTATACCAAAACCTTGACAGATTTTGGCAATTTTTTTCCTTAACTCTGAGCCCAAGAAAAATACCATAAAAACATATTTCCTTGTAAAATTTTCCTTATCCAAAGGCTTCATTTCTTCATGTTTTATAAAGAAATAACCTCTAGTAACCCGCCACAACATGGTTTCGAACGGCTGAAATCTTTCCACCGCTATAGTGCCCGTAAAAAAGGACAAATGTACGCCCTCATTTCCGTCCTCAGCATTCAATTCATTTTGCAATAACAGCCTTATAACACTATCCGACCAGGCCATTATCGCCTCTGGTCTTACACCCTGGGCACCCAAAAATATATCCGCCTTTTCCAAAACCTCTAAACGTTCGTACAGCTGACGACTTTGCCTTTTAAAAACATCCACATTACCCGCCACTTGCGTTAATTCTTCATAGTATTGCTGCACCGTTGTTTCCATCGTTTTTAAATCATCTGCCTCCGGTATTTCATCTTCATCAACATCCGGATAAATAACGATTTTTATGTTTAAATCTTCAATTTCTTGTTGTAAATAACTAATTATACGTTTCAGTTCGTGGCATCTTTTTATCTCGGTGGCATAGAGATTATTTGCCACCGTGCTGCCATCATAAATATTACGAAATTGCACTTTTCCCACATAACCCAATTCAATTAGACAATTAAAGGCGGATTCGGTGTGCAAGACTATTTGGCACAATGACATGGGTTCACTGCGAAAGAATGACATTATTATTTGAGTTTGATTTGAGGGAAAATTACGGAGAAAATTTTAAATAATACAAAAAATAAATTAAATTATTTGAGTAATGGAAATAGTAAATCATAGTTGATTTCAAGATACTCTATATTTGGGTTAGGCAGGGGATCTCTTAGGATTTGTAGAGAGCTTAAGTTACTCTTACTAAGGTTTAACAGAAAACCACAATCAGTCAGAGAGCTCATTTGCAAATCTTTGTCGATGTTAGATCTTCATATATCTAGGTTCTAAGTTTGACTTAATTTGTCAAGGAGAGCTCTCTAATCAACTCATTTGTTTTCATGCTTTCACACGTAGAAATTAGAGAGATCATTCGTTACTTATTGCTGATGCCTGCTATAAGCACAGGGAATTGCTTTATGAATAAATAGCGACCAGAACCAGTTAGAGAGCAAGTTTTTTGCACTCTGTTAGAAACTCTCTTATATATACATACATATATGTATGTATGCTTGCACGTGTATATAGAAAAAAAAACAAAACCACGAAATTTTAACTTTCTGTCTATCGCTTTGTTTGCTTTTACACATACATACGTAAACTTACACAAGTATAGGATACAAATAAACCAAGTCAGAGAGCTCATTTGTGGCTCTTTGCCGGTTCTACATATATGTTTGCTTAGACTTGTGTTAAGTAAAAACCAACTAAACCAGTTAGGCAACTAATATTTTGCTCTCTGCTCAACGCAGTTCTATAAAATTTATCGAAATCTCTATATCAAAGTTACTGAAAGAGCTCTCTTATTAAAATGCTCAACATTTTGTGAATATTTAGACAAAGAGCTCTTTTATAAGCTCATTTGCTTTTACACATACGTAAACATACACATGTATAGCATACAATCAAATCAGAAAGCTCATTCGTCTCTCTTTGTTAATGCCTACTCCAGATACTTTTACATGTATTCTTGCCCGTATGTTTGCTTAGACATGTATAAAAGATCAACAAATCCAGTTAAAGAACAAATATTTTGATCTCTGTCTATGGCTGCTCTATGTCACTGCTTCAAAGCTCTACATCGGACATAGGCAAAGAACTCTCTTATGAAACTGCTCAATATGTAAGTTCATTTGTTTTTACATCAGACATAGGCAAATAACTTTCTTATTTTTTAGATAGTTATTTGTACATGTACCTTTGCTTAGACATGTATAAAAACCAAATAAACTAGTTAGAGACATAATATTTTTGCTTTCTACTTATCTTTGCTCTATATAATTGATTGAAAGCTTTACATAAGAGATCAGCAAAGAGCTATCTAATGAACCTGCAGAGTTAGCCAGATAGCTCTCTTATGAATTCATTTGCTTTCGCACGTACGTAAGTGTAAATGTATAGACATTAACAGGTATATAGAAAATATGTGGGAAAGTTTAGCCAGTTATGGCCTACCATATAATACACTACACCACTGCACACTGCTCTATATAATTGATTGAAAGCTTTACATAAGAGATCAGCAAAGAGCTATCTAATGAACCTGCAGAGTTAGCCAGATAGCTCTCTTATGAATTCATTTGCTTTCGCACGTACGTAAGTGTAAATGTATAGACATTAACAGGTATATAGAAAATATGTGGGAAAGTTTAGCCAGTTATGGCCTACCATATAATACACTACACCAGCTATGAGTATATTTAAAAAATAAGTTTTTTTGCTATAAAAAAGCATTTATGTTGAATTTTACTTTATTCCGATTTATTGATGAAGATTTTCTAAAAGAGGTTATATGGGTTATGAGCTCAAAAGTCCTAATCGGAAGGACCGGTTGTAAGGGGCCTAATGAATTAGACTTCATACTTTTGACGATAAACATATATGATCCAAATTTTATTAAAATATCATGAAAATTTCATCCAGTTTCAGCTAAGGTTTACATGAACAGCCAGCCTGCTGTACAGACGGACGGATATGGTAGAAAGTTATTCTGAATGAACATAACTTTAAGGCAAGTGTCAGACCAATATTATTGTGCTTTACAAATATCAACATAAGCACATTATACTTAGGATGTAGGAGAGAGCTTATTCGTAAAGTTTTCCGATGCCTGCTTTGCATATAGAGAATTGGTATTAATCAGAGATTAGAGCTTTTCATACGTATTTATGTATACTCACATATACATAAGAAACAAAACAAAGAGCTAATTTGTTTCTCTTTTACTCCGACTTTCGGTTTAAGTTGGAGCATCGTGCTCACTATTCGGACATTAAAATAGTATAAGATCTGGTATAAATTATAATGCTATGATAACAATATATTGGGTATTATTTGAAAACTTTATTGTGTATATTTTCCACAAATTTACATGAATTTTAAGTAAAACATACAAAGTTTTAATTCAAATTACTATAAAATGGTTTATAAGAGAGAATAATGATTTATTGTTTATGTTTTTTTTTTTCAATACACAAACCATTGACGAAGTAATGACGTCAATTCAAAAATTTAAAATATTTTTTTTTGCAAGTGTGTTAATGTTTATATTTTTAATATCTACTATGTATACTTTTGTATAAACTTTTAGGTTTTTAGATACATATTATTTATAAGATATTAACAAGTTAGATAAATAATTTTTGTTTAATAATTTTAACTAAAAACTTCAGAGTAATTTTGCATAAATTTAGAAAAACTTCTAAAATTTTATAAAAATTGTTCTAAAATATAAAATAATTCTTAGAAAAGTTTCTATAAAAAGAAATTGTGTGAAAATATTTTTACAATTGTATGTAAATATGTAAAAAAATGATGTGTATATAAACATTATCTACGACACCAAACAAAACAGAAAAAGACTTCCTACTACAATTACAAGAACACAAATAATGAAACAGCAAAATTTAACAACAAAGAAAGAAAAAAAATTTATGAAAAATAAAACAAGGAAAAAGAAAAAAATCAAGACAAACACATAAACCGATCTGATTGAATGGGTTTTTCTTTTACCATTGTTGTTTTTATGGGAATTTAAATGTAAAACAAGTATAAATGTTTGACTAAAGTATCTGATAGATACAAATAAGTAAAAAATATTTTTACGCTTTTCTTTTTTTTTGTTTTGAAATGAAAATGTGAATTTTATTTTTTCTTTCTGTGGTCGTTTCTTTTTTTTTTTTGTGTGGCATCATCTTTAAAATTTTAAATCATTATCATTGTTGTTGTTCTTGTTTTTTGCTTTACGCGCGGTCTTGACGTCTGTCGTGTTGTTCTTGTAGCTGTGCCAACTCAAGAAATATATACACATTTTCCGTTCGTTTGAAATGGTTTTGCGTCTCTGTGTGTGAAATATTGTGTAGATATTTTAGGTGCGAGAGTTTGTGTGTGCATCTTTGTTTGTTTTTCAGCCATGTTTCTATCAAAAACACATTCATTTGCTGGTTCGGCTCCTGCAGTCAGATGAAAAATATATTAAACGTTTATCAGAGAGTTTGAGAAACACAAGAGTATCGGAATAATCAAGAGATCACTTTTGTTGTTTTTTTTTAAGATTTTATACTAGAGATAATTTGTTTAAGGGGAGAAAGAGAAGTAAATGTTGCTGCAACATTTAAATTTAACATTAGTTAATTCTAGTTCAGTTCTAGTTTAGTTCTAGTTCAGTTTTAGTTCAATTCTAGTTCAGTTCTAGTTCAGTTCTTGTTCGGTTCTAGTTCAGTTCTAGTTCAGTTCTAGTTCAGTTCTAGTTCAGTTCTAGTTCAGTTCTAGTTCAGTTCTAGTTCAGTTCTAGTTCAGTTCTAGTTCAGTTCTAGTTCAGTTCTAGTTCAGTTCTAGTTCAGTTCTGGTTCAGTTCTAGTTCAGTTCTAGTTCAGTTCTAGTTCAGTTCTAGTTCAGTTCTAGTTCAGTTCTAGTTCAGTTCTAGTTCAGTTCTAGTTCAGTTCTAGTTCAGTTCTAGTTCAGTTCTAGTTCAGTTCTAGTTCAGTTCTAGTTCAGTTCTAGTTCAGTTCTAGTTCAGTTCTAGTTCAGTTCTAGTTCAGTTCTAGTTCAGTTCTAGTTCAGTTCTAGTTCAGTTCTAGTTCAGTTCTAGTTCAGTTCTAGTTCAGTTCTAGTTCAGTTCTAGTTCAGTTCTAGTTCAGTTCTAGTTCAGTTCTAGTTCAGTTCTAGTTCAGTTCTAGTTCAGTTCTAGTTCTTCTAGTTCAGTTCTAGTTCAGTTCAGTTCAGTTCTAGTTCAGTTCTAGTTCAGTTCTAGTTCAGTTCTAGTTCAGTTCTAGTTCAGTTCTAGTTCAGTTCTAGTTCAGTTCTAGTTCAGTTTCTAGTTCAGTTCTAGTTCAGTTCTAGTTCAGTTCTAGTTCAGTTCTAGTTCAGTTCTAGTTCAGTTCTAGTTCAGTTCTAGTTCAGTTCTAGTTAGTTCTAGTTCAGTTCTAGTTCAGTTTAGTTCATTCTAGTTCAGTTCTAGTTCAGTTCTAGTTCATTCTTGTTCGGTTCTAGTTCAGTCTAGTTCATTCTAGTTCAGTTCTAGTTCAGTTCTAGTTCAGTTCTAGTTCAGTTCTAGTTCAGTTCTAGTTCAGTTCTAGTTCAGTTCTAGTTCAGTTCTAGTTCAGTTCTAGTTCAGTTCTAGTTCAGTTCTAGTTCAGTTCTAGTTCAGTTCTAGTTCAGTTCTAGTTCAGTTCTAGTTCAGTTCTAGTTCAGTTCTAGTTCAGTTCTAGTTCAGTTCTAGTTCAGTTCTAGTTCAGTTCTAGTTCAGTTCTAGTTCAGTTCTAGTTCAGTTCTAGTTCAGTTCTAGTTCAGTTCTAGTTCAGTTCTAGTTCAGTTCTAGTTCAGTTCTAGTTCAGTTCTAGTTCAGTTCTAGTTCAGTTCTAGTTCAGTTCTAGTTCAGTTCTAGTTCAGTTCTAGTTCAGTTCTAGTTCAGTTCTAGTTCAGTTCTAGTTCAGTTCTAGTCAGTTCTAGTTCAGTTCTAGTTCAGTTCTAGTTCAGTTCTAGTTCAGTTCTAGTTCAGTTCTAGTTCAGTTCTAGTTCAGTTCTAGTTCAGTTCTAGTTCAGTTCTAGTTCAGTTCTAGTTCAGTTCTAGTTCAGTTCTAGTTCAG